CGAGAAATTCAAAATTTTCGATTTATTACCACATTTGCAGGTAGTAGAAATAATTATCTGTGAATACGATTCGTTCAAACATTCAAACCTGTAGTTTAGAGACACTTCTGTATTCAATGGAAAGTAGATACAACTAACTCGGCAGGGTTGTTTACCACTTTTTTTTAAATTTAAACAATGGAAAATAGTTTTCATAAAACACATACTAAATTAATGACATCTATTACGGCCATTTTCTAGATTATCAATCTGTATATGTATCTAAACCTAGCCTCCTTTGCTTGCCTACACCCTATCACTTTAGCGTGTCTCGCACTAAAGACTGCTGACGCACACTCTTCGTTTAAAACCGAATCGTGTATTCCTGCGCTAGACGGGCCATACTCGCCATTGCAACGCTCCTTGATCCTGGCAATTCCGTATTATCTGCCCGTACACAACGTTAAGCGCACACATAGCAGGTCTCTCAAAAGTTTTATGACGGCCGTTGACTGACGCTGTTACCGTTGCTATTTTGGAGGTTGTCGTTTTTGTCAGCTTACTCTGCCCCCAGCCTCCTCTCTGTCTACTTCATCCACTCCGCGGCGCGCACACACCCTCAAACGTCTTACAATATTCCCTTGTGCCATCTGTTTACGTGTACCGCAAGCCATGCATCGTGGAGCAATGTTACGGCTCGATCGCATTCTTCGTTTCGTTTTCCTGTTTCCTGCAATAATTGTCTTTCCTGAGCAACCCACTAGACTGCGCTGAGGGGCTACGGCGAGCTGCGTTCTTCGGCCCAGGCACTCGACGGATCAACCTGGGCGAAAGTTACTCCTCACAGCCATTGCGCACGAATGAAGTCGTTTTTTGTCCGGGTCCTATTTACTGCCATCCTTAACAGCAAAATTAATACTTTGAGTACCATCATAATTTCTGGCGTACGCTCTCGCAACGCTTTATGAAGCAGTTGACCCATTTTGCCAAAAAGCTGACCAACATTGCCAGATTTTAGTTTTTTGTTACGATTGCTCCTTTAACCTATTGAACTGTTGGTTGGGCTAGACGTTGTTGTGTCAACTATAAAGGACAGATACTTTAGCAGATTTGGAAGATCGCGGGTCAATTCTGATATCGCTAATTTTATGTTATGGTTCAAGTAAGTCTCAGCTTCGCCTATACGAAATGCTACTAAATCGCAAGCAATATTCATGTTGTTTTTTTTTTTTTGTTAGAGGTCTAACGCTCGAGGGTGGTTGTATATAGTTATGTATTTTATCTTATTATTATTATTATTACTACTGTATTGTGTGTTACTGCATAGAAGTTCGAAAGAAGAAGTTTTGTGAGTTCGTCAACAAAGTAGAGTTGGGAAAGGAGTACCTATTAAAACTTCGAGTGGAAAAATCTGTTTAAGAAGGGTCCTAACTCCTTGTATTTCATCACGTTTTCCTTTCTTTGTTTAACACCCAAACTACATCGAAGAGAAAAGCCATATGTAAGCAAATTCTATTATTTATATCATAAACTATTGTATTGTAAACGATGTATACGCTTTCCTGGCCTACTTTCTGCGAAATAAGGCACTCCAATTCAATTCAGTTAACAAAACCTTTGTATCCAAAAACCATGAACGCATATGACACACGAAAAGAGACACATTCGCAGAAGCTTAAGAAAATCACCATATTTCCGACTGTTCTAGCGTAGCGAACCAAATATCGTCCCATATTTCCCCGTAGCATTCAAAGGAATTGTTTCATCCGTCATATTTTCCAGCCCAAGCGGCATGTAGGGGCTCAACGGTATACACGCAGCCATTCGGGAGCCATTCGAATCGAATGGAGTTTGCCGGCTGTTTCGCGGTTTACGAGCCCCCCAAGGTAATGACTTCTTCCGCCTAATTAGTTTATATAATAACTGCTACTGCTACGTATTTATATGTACATTCTCTTGTAGGATGGTGCAGGTATGATAGAAGAAAATATTGAACTTCAGTAATTTATATGCATGTACATATAGGGCTCGCTAAATATACTATGGTCGTTTTATGATGGAACTGTGACGCGATGTAACCCCAGATGAGGGTTACTTCCTAAAATCAAACCACATTAATTGCCGTCAGTGTAAATACGAATTCGCGCATATGATCTCGAAAGCAACTTAGCAAACCATTACGACATTTTCTAGGCTAGTATTGTTCTAGTCATTTACGAGACAAGAGTTATTGTGCCACTGGAGATAAGGCGAAAGGTAGATGAACTTTTCTTCACTACGGTCTGTTCATTTACAGTGGAGAACGACTCCTTTTGCTCCAGCCAGGTCGTTTTCTTACGCTATTTGGCTTTTGGGTCGCTTTCCAGTGTGCTTGGGTTCGCCGGTCTGCGTAATCGTAGGTCGACACATTTTCAGCCTTACATTGTTTGTTGCATATTGGTGATGTGCTTAATATAGCCACTTTGCAAGGTAGCTACGCGATGCATATTCGTCCTCGGTGAATTCTACACGCCCGCTCCGCGTTGTCGTCACTGGCCTCTTGTTCAGTGTACCGCATATAAAATGGCCTGTTTCTTTTTTTAGCTGCTTTGCGCGTCTCCATTAGGATAGCCCGCGTAGTCCAATGAGTAAACGAAAGAGAACGACGTGTCTAGTAGCGAATGCATGGCAAGCGTGGGCACACTTACTGCAAAGAATTGCAGCTGTCTTGGATAGGCTATTTAACTAACTTAGAAATAAAGTTTGCGTACAATATTCACTTGAGATTGAATGCTCTGGAACGCTTGAGCGTGCTATGACGTTGCCTCTGTAGAGCAACGAATTACAAAGGTATGATGAAAGTATTAAATAGCAAAGTCCTATCAGCTTTTTTGTACGCCTATTGATCTATTTAATTAGTACATAGCACATTAAAAACGGTTCAACTCGTCTCAACACTAGACGTCTTGCTTAATTCCTTATTGCAGAAACACTTCTTCAGAGAACGGTGCTATTTGTCAACTAGACTATGACCTCTTTTCGTTGCTACTTGTTCCTCGCTGATCCGTTCTATACGATATATATATTCTATACTATCGATATTTCTAACTAATATAAATGCGGTTCAGATCAGTGCGGTCTATTCAGTCGTTTGTTTAGCGGCGATAAGTTCATTCGAGCGATCCCCTGATGGCTGGCAAAATTGTAAATAATTGTATTAAAACTCTGAGTAAAAAAAAAAAAACATTTGACTTCCATAGCTGGTTAGATATTTCTGGCTCACTGGTGTCCTGCTTTGTCGTATTATGCCTAATGCTGTTTTGTAGTTGTACGTAAATGTGTCGGCATGAACTTTGCGATGTGTAGCAAATGAGCCTTTCGTAATGAACGTTTCGGCTCGACCTAATAATATAAATGAGTACATTTGTCCTTTCGAAGCAGAGAAGGACAAAGCGAGCGGGAAAGAAGTAGATGCAACTAATGGATTTGTGGTGGTAGCGATTAATATCGGCTCTATTGCAGCGAGTAAATTTGACTCAATTCGAAACAGAAATGCTCCGCCATAACCGGCACTTGGGCTTCCTGAGCAAAAAACGCAGATAAATTAGTCGAAAGTCAAAGTGTAACCTACAGAGCACCTTGCAGCAAATTAGTAATGATATAGATTGGATTTTACATGGAAAAATCTACGTTGTTAGAAAACAGCGGTCGACTACTTGACAATATCATATTTATATTTGTCGAAATACAGAAGGTTTCATGCTTGCAATAAGAAGGTACCAGCATAAAACGTACGCAGATTTCACTTTCAAGTTTGCCCCGAAGAAGTTTGAGGTATAGCTCAGAATTTAAAATTTAATTTTCGTGAAAACTCATATGGCGCCTTGACAACTGAGTCTGATATGTACCAAGCCGATCCCTCAATCAGTCAATCCGAAGGTTAAACAGTCTTTTCTGTTCAAGTCGAGGCCAATACATCTTCATGTTTATGAAGTATTTAGAAGGTTTCCTCTTTTTATAAATTAAGCGACCCTTGTTCCATAGCCCTTACCGTTTCGTCACTATTTAGTGGGGTATTAAACTTACTAGCTAAACTAGATTCCACTCGAAATTTCGTTTACTGGATGCAACACGGTAAGCAGACCTAGTACCAACAAGACTATATATAAATCAAGAATATTAGGATTTCGCTTCAAATAATCTCCATTAAAGCTATATGCGATTGTCGCTCTGATGTCATCCATAGGTCACCTTGGTCGAAAGTAGAATTCGCATAGAGCCCCGGCCAACCAGCGTGGCTCTCTACGAACATTGGTTCTCCCGGTCTCCTATAATTGGAAGTGGCTTCTTTTACTTACCCCCATCATGTACGTTCTTCTATTGCCACTGAGTTTGGGCTTTCTAATGGAAAACACGAACTGTGCCGCTTCTCTGTTGTCTGTCTGTAATAAACGGGCTTCTTTCCCATTCTTACGCGCAACTCTAAAGAAGCTCTCCCCTGTTGATGTTTTGTTGGACCTTTAACAGAGCGGTTGTTGCAGGACGTGATTGTGCAATTGCAGCACGGCACAATAATCCTGAGAAGCTTCTAGGTCCGTATGCTGATATACAACAACTTCTTCGTTCGTCGTAAAAGGCCATAGCGGACCTTTGTTAGACGGTGATTTACTACATCTTTTTTTTTTTCGATGTTGTCTTCTACAAAGAAGCAATGGCTTGCTTTTAGTTATTTCTGCCTTTGGTGTGTGTTTCGGAAGACAAAAACACATCAGCTTACTGACTAGTTACCTGTAAATGAAAACATGTTGGAAAAGCAAGAATGTATGACTTTCCAAAGGATCGAATTAGATATCAGACACTATCGAAGATTATAAAAACCTTCACAGGGTGGATTATTCCTATTCTACTCGTCTTGCAGGCACCAAATAACTTTAGAGTGAATAAGTTAAAGATGTACATTTCGTATATAGAAAAGGATTGAAATGGATACACTGTTGCGTCTTGTATGGTATATATAAACTTTATTCGTTCTTTTCATTCGCGACCACTAAACAATGACCACTTCGGAAGTTTCGCTCTGTACAGTGGGTATTACAGATTATAAAATATAGAGTTGTGCTAGTGCGCTACCCATTTTCTAGATGATCCATTCTATTGTTGCTGTTTGTATTAATTGCGTACTTATCATTGTACTGTTTTATCATGAAGATCCTCCGTTCAAGAGAGGTGGTCTGAATCTTCCATAGCACCGACGCACAATTTTGCTTGCCATTCTTTAATCTGTGCATACGAATAATGGTAAAGAATCCTCTTTGTTCACGTGAATTTACTATACCAATATATGATGTTGCTTTTATTTATTCTACAAATGTTACTGGCCGACAAACGTTTTACCTCACCGAGGCATAGAACTCGATATATTGAATTGTTTTAATATCGGAAAAAAATTAGTGTTTTATAGTGTTCAGTGAAAGCTCTCCATCTCATACACAGGTTGCTGTTTTCAACTTTATATTTGCTATGTAAATTCCTATACGTAGCCATTTTTTGAAAGTTCGTATATTTTTAGGTATTTTTTAAAGGTTTATACCTCAGAAACTATAGTTGGGCTAATTCCAAGAAAGTGGTTATTAATGAATTGCTTCAACGCTCACCCGATCACGCCTCTCTTCAAGATGTTTTTAAGAATACTAGAAATTTTTCATTGAATAAATTACTTTAATAATTCAATTAATTTCGTCAAGTAAAAAAAAAATCATTTGCTCAGTGAAGGTACTATTATAACATGCGTGCCATTGCCCGTAGAGATCATTTTTAGTTAGTTAAAATAGCTAACCGCAAGTATTTTAATAGGCGTCGTTTCCGTGGTAATAGGTAATGCACGTGTTTATTTACATAGTACTATATTTCTATGTATGTGTGTTTAAATATTCACCCTAACCCTCGTTGTTTCCAACACGCGGCTGTTGTTCCAGACAACGAAAATGATTTTCAAGAGGTCGTACACCTATCCGCCACACGTACCCAAAGTGCTTTAAGCATAACTGGCCAGATGCACTCGGTTTCCTGGTCGTTAAATTTGCTATTTTGTATTATTTTATTATATAAGCATTGCTCTCCACGACTAGAAGCACGTAAACTCGTCAAGATCGGAGCTTTATATATATTATGTACAATGGATACATTATAAACATTCCAATCTTTTGAGATCCGGAATAGTATACACGTAGTGTAGTTACAGTATGTATCACAATTAACTGGAACGCCGTACAGCGTAGCGGGGTTTCTCTCGCAAGCTATTCTAATAATCAACACGTCTGTTACAAGGTCAGCTTATGCACGTAGGGGGATCAATTTGATAGAAATTAACAAGGTTTTGAAATAGCACGACGAATTTCGGCAGTGTCTTACGCTGGCGAGAAACTACTGAAGAAACATAGACTATGGAGGAGGTCGGCCCTTCCCCTGGGATGCTATCTGTTTATCAAACGCATTTGGTAAATTCTTGAAGGCAAGCTAGAATCTAAGTTACGTAAGATGCATACAAACATAGACATCAGGAACAAAGTAAAGATGCTTAGATTCATATATAACCGATATGCGTATATTGCCAATCAGGTGGGCCAAATAGCGATATTGCTCATTAATCGGATAATAGCCAAAACATAAATTCTAATTGCTGATCAAGCGTTTCTCCCTCAAAACTCTTTATTCACCCTGATTCCTTCGTACGTTCAGGAAGTCTGAAGATCGGCCTATTCAGCCGTACTTTAAACGTGCGTTATATTTCTAGATGGTGCGTTTACGTGAACTCCTGTTGGGGTAACTATGGCCGGAGAGTTGTACGGCGGATAAATGCTGTTAGTCACGCCTACGGGAAGATGCTGCAAACTGCCATTCATCTGATTAGATGTGGCGGAATTAGTTGCTAAAGACGCGCGGCCTCGGAGAGGATCCATTAAGTTACAGAGGGCGTGGCTAGTCGAATGAACGGTCTCGTCGAGGTGTCCTGATTGTAGAGTTAGAACTGAGGGCTGTTCATTGCGTTGTTTGGCCCCCTGCACTTTGTCGTAGTGCTCGAGCAATATATCAGCAGGCCAATGGTTGACTGGTGAGAGACCTGCCTGTTGTTGAGATGTCATAGGATTCATTAAAGCTGGGACACCATTTGAATTACTGACTGCAAAAGAGTGATCAATGCCTACTGTTGTGTTGTTGAAGTCCATGCTTGGGCTGAGCGGCAAACTTCGTGACCCAGATGTCATTGGACTAATATCTTCTTTCACTATGGATGAAGGCGTTAAGAGAGGACTCATGTTATTTCCTTCTGAGTTCTTCGGTATCGTTCCAGTGTTGTATGTGTCAATGTTCACACCGTTACTTTTATCGTCTTTCGTGGCCTTTTTCACCTTGTCCAAAAGTGGATCTCGTCGTCGGCGAGCAAAAACAACCATAATGACGCAGATTCCAAGGACAAGTACGATGAGTGGCACCGTAACTATTAGCGCGAATTGATTTGGGAGGAAACGAGTTCCGTCCCGCTGGCCAAACAGTCCCTGGTCAGATGCAAAGGCAAAACCGCCCTTGGCATCACCATAGCCTCTAGAGCCACCATGATCTTGAGAACCACCAAGACCCCAAATTGAGGGTATGGTAACCGCTGCAGGTGGCATTGCTGAAATCATAGCAACATTCGACACAGCTGAGGTTACTCCATACGTGTTGTTTACTTTCAGAGCAAAGTACTGCGGCAGCAGGATATCATTAGGCAGCTCGAAATAGACTTGTTCGAGGGTGCCCGCCTCTTTTGGCAACAAAAGGCCGTCGTCGAACTCCCAGTAATCGATCTCATGACCGCTCTCAGCGAAGTGTGCTATCGCTTCGTCATGACTGTCGAATCGTTTCAGAATATAGGAAGCTGCCCGTCCATGATCTCGTACGTTGCCAGATGCAGTCCATCGCAGCGAGATTCTTCCAGATCCTCCAGGATTGGACTGAAGGTAAGCGACGTGCAGGTCAGCAACACGAGCGGGCATCGTCCATGAAGCCGAATAAGTTTTGTCATCTTGCTGGTTACCAAGTGCCACACTCGTTACGAAAAACGACCCGAAGTCAACGCGACGAGAGAACCTTCGAGTCGCATTCTGAGCGGTCCGCATCACCATACTGCCGCAGCATGCCGTATGAGGAATGACGTCATCTAAAAGTAGTAATAGTAGACCATCATAAATATATCAAGAAGGTGACTTTATAACATGTTCTTTAATTAATTTTATCGTAAGAATTTTTTGTGCAAAACAACACAACTTGCCCTTGAACGCAGCTTTGCGAACGCTAGATTCAAATATCGCAAGAATCATTTTTATCTTGCTATTCTTGCGAAATGTGTGTTTTAAACCTGGATGTTTGGAGCAGATTTTTCTGTCAAAGGTGATTTTTTTAGCTTGACAGATCTATTTATTATTATTAGAAGTGATATCAGCTGCTTACCTCGGAGAAGAGACAGCAGACCTTATCGAAAATAGAAAATATCAATAAGAGGAAAATTTCCGACCTATAAGTAGCAAAGCTTTATTAAGGCGTTCTAAACCCGGAACCAGGTCGTCCAAGATTGTTGTTAACTAATATCAATTTAGTGCGATTAATTCGTACCTGGTACAGCTGTGCTTCTTAGGACAGTAGCACTTCCTTCACTTTTGGCTTCAACGATCAGGCGATGTCGACCGACTTTCGTGATACCTTCAATGTATCTGGAATAGATTCCATCATCCTTGGTGATATCGGGATCTCCGGCTCCATTATCTTTAAGCTCAACCCGTACTTCTGTTTCGGTTTCGTCCGACACTGGGGTAATTCTGGCCACTACTGTTACATCCACAACGGGTCGGCTTCCTTTGCTAACTTTCGCATAGACGACAAGGCCTTTATCCCAAAGGGTGACCTGTGCACATTATCAATGTACTTATTTTTGTTTTTAAAAGCGTTTGAAAAAATCCAAAAAAAAACAATCCACTATAACATATTTTCTATTTAAGCGATGCATGTATTATTTTTCCGGCAGTTTTTAGTCATTTAAGTATAACTATGTTATACTAACATGTTGATGTTTTTTTTTTGCTAATCATTATTTATTTTTATTGATTTCTCCAACAGAGCAGTGAACGAAAGATAGTAGAAGAAGTCATTAGCAGCGTTTTACTTACGTTGTAGCTTCGTTGTGAAATCCAGACATCGACAATGATGGGCTCATTGTTTTCGTCCGTGGTAGGCTTCGCGGCGGCACTCACTATGATGGGCTGTCTTGTATCCCGGCGGGTTTTGGCCTCGAGTCGCCAACGTCCAACGGCGGGTTCGGGGATCTTAAACTCATAGTACCAAAACTGTGCGTTGGTCGAAACGAACTTATAATCTTTAGGACTGTAGACTTTCTTTCCGTTGGCCGCGTGACCTGCTGGAGCGTACAAAACGATGTCCTTCGGAGACACGGTCCAGGGTCTATCTGATCCGTAATCGTGACCAATCAAACGAACCCGCAGTTCGGCATTGAGAGTGGGATCAATATCGAACTGAAATACCATCTCATTCTGCTCTTTTCCGTAAAACTCTGCCTGTCCAACGCAACTAAAGCTATCGTAATGCGCTGCCGAGGTATCTAAATATGTAAACGCATAAAGCGCGTCGTAAAGTTCCTGCAACGCACTGACGGTAACCGTGTCGTCTATAGGTGTATTGTTTACAGTCTTAATCCGTCCATTTGTTCTAGACACAAATTCGTCGAGTATATTGTTCACAGGCTGTGCGACACTTAAAGTAGACTTGGGCTTTGTTACTGCAGTCGTCATAACGTCAGTCTGAGAAGCAGGGGCAACTGCAAGGGCAGTAGCAGTGGTAGGGGTTTGGCGGTTAGCGTCTGGATCCCTAGACGTTGAGGCGAAGCTCCGTGATGGGAAAATAATCGCATCTACTCGCACTCCCTGGGCATTGTAGCTGTGTCGTAGAAGGCTGCTGAAATTTTCGCTGCAATGGCCATCTCCAATGACCAGAACACGTTTGGTGAAAGTGTTGTGAGCAACACGTTCAGTGATTTCCGATGTATCGTTGAGGGCCATGAGAGCTATGCGCAATCCGTCTTCAAGAGTTGAATTCACATGATTTCCATTTTCCACCTCTGCATTAAGCAGGAGCAACGCGTCAACCGCGTTGCGAACACCTTCATCGCTTGCGGCAGCTCTCCGTAAGGCGATTTCACTTGCGACAGCGCCGTACGTCACTAGAGCGATCTGCATATCGCCTGGAGCCTCACTGCGTAAAAACTGATTCAGTGCTCGAAGGATGTAATTGCGACGGTTCTGACCGGCAGCGAAGGAACGAGAGAAAAAGAGATTAAAATGTGCACGTTTGGCACAAATCTCTGATAGTCAAAAAACGTTACAGGGCTTATAATTTAAAATGAGATGAATAACTAGCTCCCGTGGGATTTCTCTAAAAATGTAGACACTGAGAAGCTCACTGTAAAATCTACATTTTATTAGATATGTTATTTTAGCTCATTTTTTGAATAAACACCATTTAAGTTAATAGTTTAGTTGATAATTGATATAGCTGACTAATCTCTTTAAAAATGGGCACAATCTAGTATGTAGAACCCATAGGTGTCGCCCCGGGTTACGTTGTTTACTAAAATTGTATAGACAACGCGTTTTGCTCAGTGTAATTTAAGTACACCAAAACGACGTAAAATAGTATAGCCCACTTACGTGTTGCATTGTCAACTCGGTTATTTGAACAACAAAAGCGACTACTTGAGCCTGTTCCTGGACAAACACGAACCGCGTACGACCCAGGAGTCCGCTAAAATAAAATTACATAAAACTAAAGTTTCATTTAAGACGAAATACGTAGCAATTTTGATCTTTTCATACATACGCTAGAACCAGCGTTAGTAATATGAGTTATCTACTTTACTACAAAATCTTAAATTACTTGTATGTCCTGCCGAAGAAGTCAAGATGTTGCTCAACGATATCGTTAGTGGATCGTCCCTCACACATAACATTTTGTTTTGTCGGCAGTGCATGATCATGGGGTCGTGGGCCTCCACAAAAATGAGTGGCCGACGGTAGACCGCTCATGATCGACGCTTCGACAATATCCCGTTCAGCAGAAAATACCGGAATACAGTCTGGATCTAAAGGCAGGCCATTCGTCAAATTGATCGTAGCATTGCATGACATTCCCTTGCCGTTCCTGTAATAACAAATATATGAGTCAGTGTGGTAGCGTGCACAACTGAAAGAGTGTCCAGGGTCACAATTTTTGTTGCGAATATAAATGTGTACCTTCATCTTACTAACAATGACGGTCCATTGCATGTAAACAGCAGGAAAGTTACTATATAATTTCATCGTGGGATTATACGGCCTCTAGAACAATAAGAGTAAAAATGATATTAATAGTAATGATTATTATTATTATGACCTGGTAACCACATTCAAAAGAAAGAAAATCTCGAAGCAGAAAATATCGATCAACTCACACATTTCCTGCTTCTTTTACATTCTCACGTGCACATACATACATGGAAACACGTACACAAACACTTGCACACAAAACACATACGAGTGTAGCAATGCACATCCTTCTTTCTGCTGTATCCGCTAAAATAGTGTAGTAAGGGAAGGGAAGAGAAAAAAGAGTTAAAGGGAGAATGGAAAAAACGAAAGTGAAAAAAACGGCCAAGAGTTAGTTCCTTGCTTCACCCTCCCTTCCTCTGCGCCTTAGCCGTCTTCTACCCCATCGAGTCGCAAAAGTCCCCCGGGCCTTGTTGTGTAGTAAGTGATAGTGCACGCCCGGAGGGCTCTACGTGAGCGCCATGCTGATAAGTATAATAACGGCTTAGGCGAGATAAGAAGCAGCAAGTGCTTCTGCAACGGCCGCAGCGGCGGTGCCGGCAGCATCAACGACGGTGTTCGGCTCCAACGCCATCAAGTGGAACAATACCTCTATCTCCGCCCTTCATCGTCGGTGTTGGTTCCTTTTTTTCTTTTTTTTTTTTGCACTCACCATTCCGAGCCACCACTGGTCTCAGAGCAAAAGCGGACCAAGATCCTAGACCTAGCCAGACACAGATATATACACATACACGCAGAGGCTATGCCAAGCGAGAGAGAAAAACAGTGTCGGAGCTAGAGGGTAACCAGGCAGGGGATCGCTTTTGCGCGCGAACGAAAGGAACTCAACGCCGCGCAGAAAACATCCGCAGGCTCTAGTCCTGCAGAAGAAGAGGCCCAATACAAAGGCAAGGGCACGCAGCGGACAGTCTAGACTAGCTGAGGAGCGAGCAAAAGAAAAGCGAAGCCGAAGCGTCGCCGACGCACCGGTGCACAGTCAAGGGAACGCAAACGTTTCTTCGAAGAAAATAGAAGACGAAGAACGAAAGCAAATAATAGCTAGATAAAGTCCCTTGGGGGTCGCCTGCGAAATATAAACACTCGATAGCTATTCTCTCTAGTTTTCACCCGATGCCTATTCCTTCTCTCTGTCTTGTATGAAAGGAGACTATTGCCGCGGCGAGGCTGCTACTATTACAACTACGACTGTCAGGGGCTAACAAGGCGGTGGGACCTAGCCGGCCAAGTTCTGGGGCTTTGTCAGTTCCGAGCTGACAGGACTTGCTGGGTTACAGAGCAGTGCTAGTGGTTGGACTAGAGGAAAGCGGGGAAGTAGCAGTTGTAGGAAGCGGACTTCGAAAAGGTCGGATGGACAGTGAGCAGTGGTAGGGCTACGGTTGAAAAGCTGTAATAATGGGTTAAGCCACAGTTGAAGTTTGAGCCGTTGACTTGACGTCGACCCAGCCACAAGATCCGGCTGGAGACCGAAGCCGTTTGCTTGTCCCTCATCCGAATTCAACCGAAAACAAGAACGGGTTGGCTTTGGAAAAACGAGTTGCGAAAAGAAGAAGGTTCAAGGTTGCAATGGAAGAGCAGGACCACTTTTGTTGTTTTCTCTCTTCTGTTTTACTGTTGCCTTCTAAATCTTTTGTTCCTGTCTCCCACTCTGTAGACGCTCGGTCCACGTCGTATTTCCAGGATAGCACTGTATATATATGTGCATAGTTGGATCCAAGAATCGTTCCCCGAACGCTCGTTGCGTCCATCCCGCCCGTGCTTCCCTTTGCCGAAACCCGCAGGCATACTCTCCTGTGACTCGTTGTGTCATCTAATGCCATTTTCTACTCATTTTGTCTGCTTCTGATTCGTCCTTGCCCTCCCGCAGTTTTTATTTTTTTCGATAATTTACTCCTTCCTTATTTTCGTTGTCTTCTATCTGTGGTTGTCACTTCTTGCTACCGCCGTCATAGTTGTAGTTCTCTCCGCACTTCTCTCATTTCAGTATTTTGTGCCTTGCGCTGTCGCTCGCCGGCTAAAAAGTTACGGACGCGCTTTTGCATCCCCTAAAAAGCTTTGACGGAGCACAGTATTAGCGCTAGCTGTTGCGGTGCCTGATATTATTACCACTGAACCGAGTCTTTCACGTTTCTTTTCACGTCGTTTGTCCTAAAAACGATGAGCACTATAAGAACAGGAGGCTTCTCTCCTCTGAAATTATCGCTAATGTACCTAAACCGCAATTAGCTTAGGGTTTATGTTACAATTAGGTCCGCTATGCAGCCTAACTAACGAAATCAATTTTAATTGGAATTTAGTCGGTGGTCCTAGGTGAATCTGGTTTCGCGGAAGTAGGCAGTCTTTAATCGATCGAAGGTGCAAAATAAGTACCAAAAAAGGACAAGGAGAAAAGGCAGGAGGAATGCAAGAAATAATGGGAGGAGTTGGTAATGGAGTAATTGATAAATTATGGTCGATTTGGACAGGTTTAGTGTGTGTGCGTATGTGTCTTTTTCAAATACAGATGGATATACTGGCGCGGGCTATGCTTTAATAACGAACTAATATCGAATTATTAGATACAAGCTTTGCTAACTGCCCAGACACCGTTGCTAGTCGTTCTGGCTGCTTATAGTTGAAATGAAGGTTTTTTGAGTTCCATGTTTAGCGCTGCTTACACTCTATTTCTAGCTGACAAAATCAAATGAGGCACATACTCAATAGCTGTCTCCTTTTATGCCAAATAAAATGAAAGGGTAGGTCTATCCTTTTATTGCTAGGTACATATGCTTAAATAATGTTTTCGATCAACGCTTCTATTGTAGATTTTGACATGTACGAAGTAGGCCGCAGGCAGACAAACGGCCAAAATACTTGAGCCTGGCGAAACACTAGTCAAATTATAGAACCTAGATTTAAATAGTTTGTTTAACTAAGTGATTGTTTTTAAGCACGCCTGTATAATCCTTGTTTATTTATTATAGTTGGCCGTAGAGAAGACGTTCGTATAAACATATGAAAGGGATTAATATTCGGGAAACGTTATTAGTTATAAACACAAAAAGCTTAGAACGCAGCCTATCTGTGTTGAGCCAATTACTTACATCTTCTTCTATTATATATACAAAAGGCTGTGCTTGGTATGATATGATCGCCTCCGTTAACTGTTTCCCACCTTCTCAATTTGTGGCTATTATTTACACTGAATAAGCGACACGCGGCTTCCGTTGGCATCACCCTTTTTCATCCCTATCCATTTCTACTAAATAGCCCACGTTCTCGTGCCTTCCATCCCTCGACGATCATACTACTGTGCTTCCGTTCCAAGAAGATATCATTAACCGTGGGAGTTGAAGACTTGCGTCTCACGCATCCACCCTCTTGTTACTTTTGTTGTTGCTGCTCGAACTCTGACGCCTAATATAATAGATAATATCGCTTTCTAGAAACTATGTTTCTTCGTACACGATTCAGAGTAGCAGACAGAACACATCCCTATGTTTCGAATTTTGATTCTGGTGTCACCGGTCGGTCGAATACATCTATCGTGTACGAAACCTACGCCACCTACCCGATATCGTTCTCTTTAATATAATGGGTAGATAAACAAACCAAAAGAGATTGACTGACATTAACAGTCGGGCATCTTGATTCGATATGAATGAGGCCAGAAGGCCCGTCTCAATGATCAGTTGTGCAAGGAGAAAGCCATCATTAATTTTTGTGAGAAATAGAGACACAGTACGATTCGTTAATATATGTATATATATATATATATATATGTACATATGAAAGAGTTCTCACGAGTAATCATTGTCGCACTCCTTTCGTCATGGTTTTAACTGGAAATACCAGAGTTATATTATGTTATTATATCAAATCGGTGGGTCAAGCAAACGGTAATTGAATCATCTGCTCGAAATGTATCAATCTAAACGATTTCAAAATGTATTTATTTACGGACAGCTTATGCCGAAATAATTAATTAACGACAAAGTTATCAGCACAAACAGATTTGCGGCGAAAAATAAGAAAGGTCTTAATAGCAGTTACATAAGGATCGCAATGTCGGCCCGATCGGAGACTAAAAGCGTTATTAACAACGTCATTGTAAACTATTTCTGGCGGCCCCATTAACATAAATTTTTCTATCACGAATCAAACTCCTTAGATCTTAAAAAACAGTTTTCCTTTAGCTGTTTGTTTGCACTGGCTGATGTCCTTTAGGTTCATGAAATGCCACATATATGTACTAGCCTTTTTACATAGTTTTCATTTTGTAAAATAACGAATTCTTTTGTAAATTTTCGAATAATCGGCGTATGTACTAGTACTGCGTACAATAGGAAACATGTAAATGGACGCTGAGGCACATTTGAGGTGAAAGATCCAGCTTCGCTGAGCTTATACCGCACTATGACAACAAAGGGTTGGGAGGCCAGGTAGGCATCGCATTAATCTAGACTTTGCAGATCTAGATCCGGTACACTCGCCTCTTAAGTGAGATTGCACGGACGACAGAGACACCAGATTTCTTCAAAAACAGTTGACAAACTTCTATTTTTGCGTCGCTTCTTAGGATCGTTTCGATGCACTATATACAAAATACATAGATGTTGGAAATCTTTCAGCTGTGAATTGTACAAATGGCACCAGCCTGTCCAGCTATTTCATTTACTTAAATTCGCTGCATTAAATAATATTGTGCTTATTATTTTATCATGTAGTTAAACAAAATTAGCTATCTCTCATACCATATTATGCTAATGGGCCGATTCGCGTTGATAAGCAAATTAATAAATCATAGTAATTAAAAAAAATTGTAGCTGAAGAAGAAGGTCCTTTAAATGGGCACTAAGATCTACGGCGTGGGTCGGAAAGTCTACAGATTGTAAACGAACGAATAATTTCCATTTATTCTAAGAAACTTATTTTAGAATAAAAAAAAAGTCGTATCTATCGAGACCAAGAGTTGAATCAAGCCGTCGTACCACTTTTAATTTCAGGCTATCACATTGTATTTTAAAGATATTTCGGTCTATTTCAGTGTCTGTTTAAAAGCAGTTTACGGAACGATAAAACCAAAATTGACCTATCTTGTCTCCATCGATCGGTCAGACAATGTACATACCTATATAATACTGTACTTAAGAAATCATCTCATTTAGAACAGCTTTTCAGACTTGTGACTTTACAAGAGGAATCGTTTAGCTCATAATCGAACATGGGATAAGTTTAGTGCAAGCAATTATCATTTGTAAATAGAACAGTTTACGGGTATGACGAGTGCTGACAGCCACTGGGTCTCTTTTTTATTTGTTCCACTTTAAACCTGTTAGTAAAAAAAAACTCTGTCAAACACTGACCTAACCCACTTGTTGGGTATGCTGTAAGAGCTTTGGATAGCATCACCGTAAACGACAGTCGCATAGCACCACTCAGTAGGGTAGCCAGCACCCTACATAAAGCATTGTACCGCTAAAAGTTGTAATAGTTAGTTCCGATTGCTGGTTTGCAGCATATTTGTTCAATGGCACATGCGATTCCACGATCAACTTAAGTCCAAATGAATAGCATAGCTCGAACTCATAGCACTAAACAGTCATATTTGTGTACTTTGCATTTCAGCTCTAGATTACACCTATATATATCGAATGTATAACATAAACGGTCTTAAATTTAGCGGGTAACGTCTTTGCCTGCTAGGCTTGGTGGTCTAAATTCGAACTTGGGCATAGACAGACTTCGTTTCGTGCTGGGAGCCAGCCGGACGTAAAACTCGAAGCATAAACGTTATGTCAGGTCACGTGCTTAGCTTATTAAATTTTTGTATGCCAATAATAAATAACTTGGGACATCTGTGTCAGTACTGACAGTACATGAAGCGAATGTCCTGGACACGGCTCATCATTACTATATCCGAAAGAAGTTTGTAAAATTATATAATTGGCCTTTGTCGGTGCTGGCACGATTTTAAGGCTCAGTTGTATTAAAAACGAAAAAGGAGCTAGAAAAGAAAACAGAAAAGGCTCTTCAAGATAGAAAATGGCATAAGCCGATAGGCCTATAGAAAATATCTAGTCTAACATATGCCAAATTTCAAAGGTCTGTAAACAAACAAAGCTCTCTCATGTACAATCATATGCAATCTGCAGACGCACACTTCACTGCTTGACAAAAAGGAAAGAAAGCGACGCGCCTTTTCGAACATCTGCTTGTTGGTAGAAAAAAGTGTTGACACATCCATGAGCGCTTTTGTTGACTAATGAACACATTTCATCGAGGGATATTTTTAACTCGATCGAGGCGGCTATTTCTGAAATGCGGCCGACCATAGGGAGTACCCCAAGTAGATAGCTTACAGCGTAAGATAGTTTCCTTATGGCAGCTATACCTTGATTCGAGCCGCGAGGAGCTGAAAGTACGCGACGAGGCGTGAAACTTTAGGCAACAAAGAGCGGCGGAAATGCATGAGCTGATCGATCAAAACGATGAATGTTGCGCTTCCTCGCGAAGCTCGACAAGAAACTGTGGCTAGGAAAAGGCGTCGTCGCATTTCGCGTAAACATCGAACCATATTCGTGGATATTGTTGTTCTGTACCACAGAATAAAGATAGCATTGGGTAATTGGAGAATAATAGATAATGCTTAAAACAAAGTATAATCTAAATGGAAAGCACCGTGCTTTTTTATAGCCGAATGCCATCCCATTTTATTTTTTTTACATTTACTTATTTTTTGTTAGGTGTTATGCAGTTGTTAGAAGAAAATTTCAATCGCCATAACATATATTTCACTCTCCTTTTCATATATGGCATATCTCTTGTTTATTTCAAGTGTAGCCTAAAAAAAATTCAATATAAATAAAGTGTATTATACCGGATACTTGCTGTATAACATCGTACGTTAGAAGATCCGAAGCCCAATCGGTTGGAAGCCCAAAAAAAAGTATTGGCAGATTTCAGTTTACTATGCGTTCATCTAAAACGTAATTGTTATAACTAAAATCACCTGACAACCGACAGGATTAGGTTACAGCACTTGCGTTTTTATAGTGGCCAAAAAACAGAACAAAAAACATTTTTGACACACACTTGACGTTTGTCTATCTAGGCTTACGTCAATGAACAGGTTGAACCTAGCTTTGTGGTGATACGGATCAAGTAACTCTATCTTACTTGCTTTTTCAATATAGAAATAGAAAAAAAAAAAGACGTAAAATGGCCGCGAAAAAAGCGTAAAACAATCTTGCAAAGTGCTGTACTACAACACTTTGCAACACATTGATAATTGTCAAGAAATGGCTGCCTTGATCTTTCGAAAGCACAGTTTCGTCCGTAAGGCCGAGCAAAACTACTCACTTAACCTATCGTCTATAAATAAGGCGTACTGATATGCATAAACATATACGATCTGATTCGTATCGTTCGCAAATGAATAAGCCTTCAGTCGTCACAATGGCATGCATCGTCGTTGTTATTATTACCTTTATAAGGCAAGCATGCGTTGCGTGCACGGATGCACGCGTGCATACGTATTCGTATCCGTATTTTAATCATCCTAAACATATGGCACGCATTTTATGACAATGTGCTGCTATTAGCTATATGTTAAAGTTGAGCATGTGCAAGCAAACATCAGCCGTCGATAGAGATGGTCCTGGTTTTTGATTAGCTTGCTTTACACAATGTGTAACAGTGCAACTGCTTGTTAGGCGACCTTCATATATTATGTACGGAACAACAATTTGCTTTATTATTAAGCGTACTGCGGCGTGCCACCTACGACGCATGATTGTACAAACAGTAGAGGCCTGTTTGGCCACAAGCAATATAATATCTGAGCGGAAAAATGCCACCACAGCATTCCTATGCGTTTTATAATGGAATATTTTACTTTTGTCGGTCACGTTTGTTAGGCTCCACCTTGTACCGACGTTATTTTAAGAGACACCGCAATGGCGTGTTCTCTTTTTAGTCGACGCAGATAAACAATAGACAGGTAAGCAATGTGTCACAAGTCGACATATTGCATCTGAATTCGTAGCTGAAAACGGAAAGTGCCTGTATCGGGAACTGCTGTGACCAGGCCTTGACTCGTTGCTTGCTTGGCCTCGGCTATCACGAAACAAGTCTACCCATCTATATATAGTGGCTTAATAACATCACGAGTCTTTGAGCTCTACCATATACAACTCGCCCGATTAACATCCATTACTATTTATCATCGTTGCAGAAATATAGGTGCCTCTATACCTTTATTCACTTCAAAATAGCCGTAAAAATGTGATCGGTCTGTTTGATTTTGTTCTTGCGTGACACCGTGGTTAACGCGCAGGCCAATCACTATTGCGGCTATCGAGGATCAGCGATTGACCGCAAGTAATCGCGCTTAGCTCAGGCAGACGACCAATTCAATGATATCAACCTTAAGATAGGTTGATACCTATCATTGAATTGGTTGCTTGGGAAAAATTTGCAATCACAAAGATGGTTGTTGCTTCACACGATCATGAGCAAAGCTCACAGGTTCTAGTGCGCTATTTCGAGAACGATCGTGACTTGATCGCCTGGAACACGTTATCCGGTGAGGCACCGCTATCGTGTACGGTTTGCCCGACTGTATAGTGCTATACTATATTATCGATTACTAACCGGATGCCATTGCAGGTAAACCCAAGACTTGTTTTTGTCAATTAATCCAAGCGGACGACTGATTTTTACTTCAGCTCAATTAGAAATATTACAGTGCTAGGAAAGGTGAATCTTTAATATGAAATATGCCTAAGGACCAAGGAGAGACATTCTCAACTGTTCCGTTGCTTCCGTAACTTCATCTGCGATATAGAGTTTGCATCGATGCTAATCTCTTGGCCGCTTGACAGCGACAATTTCTATTGCTGCCTGAAAATAGTTTAGTATCGTGCACTGCTAATTAACTTGCCCAGATTACTATCCCACTAATGGATATCCTCTTGGCATCCTTTCACATCACCCTTATGATACGGTGGCATGTGATTTATTTTCTTATAAGTCATTTATTATTATGACATTACAATACTATTGCGGTTTCTACAAACCTGAACTGTGGCTTTACTGGCCGGTCGGTGCACACGTTGACTTCGACATCTTTGGGATCCTGGCTTCCGGGACGGAGCACATACAGGGGGTAAACAGGATCCCGTGGGAATCCATGTTCCTTGAACACTCCGTAGCGATATGCTGCCCACTCCCGCAGGAACACGTGATCTGCAGTGTTAATGTTTTCATAGTAACAGCAAGAGTCGTTGTAAAAATAGCAGTTTGCTTAATATTAAACCGTCAGAAAGAGGAACGGAGAGCGGTGAAGAACATGACTTCAACCATAGGACTTTGATTGATTCCAAGCTAATCTATAAAAGGGGCTATATTAGAGAGGGTTTACAGATCATGGTGAGCCAGGATCGACCCAAAGAAAGATAACAAATATGGAATGATCACCCATACGTATACTAGGCACGGCGTAATTATCAACATCATATTTAGATAATACTTACAAGGTTTGCCGTACTTGTCGTGACGATCGGGAGCATAGTCACTGCTGGCCGCGTATCCACGCAGGAAGGTGTCAGGAATAACGAGGTGCCTGCCCTGCACGCCACAACCTCCGTACTGAATGGCGAAGGGGTTCTCTCCGAAAACGGAGTCCTCACCGCGTTCAATAAGAATGTCGGCTTGATCCCATTGTTGCCAACTGGGTGCTTCCACTCGGGGAAGCGGCTGACGAGCCCAAGCGCCCTTGGAGGACCAAGACCGAGGAATCATGACCGTCACCTCACCGAGAAACACTCCTCGAACACGGAAAAGTTCGGATGAGGCATTCCTAAGTATCGCCTGAAAATCAGCGAGGCATATATTTATGTTGTAACGAATGGTTCGTGTAAATGGTTCTCTGCATGGCTCTTAATGTATCAGTAGTAACACTTAACCAGACTTAATGTTCTCAATGTGACATTGACAAATCAGTTATATCATCTAGAACGACTTGAAAGTGGCATGTCTAGAATGTTATATATGATTTAGTAATGACAAAACAACATATTAATGACAATTTTAGATGACCTGTTGAATCGACAAGGTCTAACTGTTCTTGGTCTTCTTCTAACTCAACCTTGTCAAAACCGTAAGGTGAACAGTTCAATGACAACTGTCAAAAGTAGTCATAGATTTTCCTACATGTTATTTTTAGCTATACCCTCTATTCCTGAATAAGAGACAGATAAGAATAGAGCGCGCATCGCACATCTGCACGCCTATGTGCATTATCATATCGTATTATATCTTGTAGAACTCATTGTGGCTTTACTCTTTAAAGTAAACATACTGTTTATGGCTTGCCTATAATACGCCAAAGTGGTGATGGCTAAAAGGTTTGCTTGTTAGACAACGCATCCGATCAAATCGGAAATATAGTAAGCTTCTTTGCGTTCTTCCAGCAGCGCCTTCGGTATCTAAAGCCCTATGCAGTCGATCTGTGACGTCTTGCTTGCGCACCAACAGGCCTTTCTTTTACTATAGTCTACCAAACTTTTTCCAGACTTCTTTTGCCAAATCACGATTATATATATATATGTATATGTATATATATATATATATATATATATACATATATATAAGAAAAATAAAGACTTATGTTATGAAAATCTGCTGTTATCTTCTTATATATTCGGTGTAATTTATATTTGAACATATGCATTGGTAAACATACTGACTAGGAGTAGCATCCGGAGAAGGCTCTTTAATAAATCTGCTATCGTCACCTCTATATACAACCCCTGGCTTGGCGTGATTCTACACGGCTACAACAGTAGTATAGATGTATACCACAGATTAGAGTAAAGCGAAGATGGACGGCCCCCTATACAGCAACATGCACACAAAAACCTATTCACCATGCATAAACACTGGACAAACATCTAGAAACAAACTGACTGCCTGTTCATTCCTGTTCTTGCTGCCTTTCTCACGAACGATCGCGTCCTTTGCTGATTTCGAAATTCTGTCAAGGAAAATACCTCTGCCTGGTTTCAGATGGCACCAACATTACTACCGCTGCCATCAGGCTCTATCGTTCTGTCCCTTGTATTTTCGTCTTCCATTCTATCCTATCATGGCTCGTTGTATCCTGCCTTTTCTTGACACATGTCACTCACTTTATGGCCTGCTGGCTGCAGGACAAATAAATAACTCACTTATGCTTCTCAAATTTCCCAGCCTAACGACACAGCTAATGCACAACACAACTGGGTACAGTTGGTCATGCACAGTTGGGGCAAACGATAGTAGTCAAGATGGGACTGGGACCCGACACAATGCTTCGAGAGTATAACTGAAAAGAAATGGGCAAACGGATGCTCATTCGTATACTACAGGTGGATATATGCAGTCAATTTCAATGATTAATATATTTTGCATACGATATTTTCTGACAGCAGGTCGAAATAGATTAGATGACGAATAAAACAACCGAACAAATATCTCAGTATTTGGGCACATATCTCTTGTTGTCAAGTTCGACCCAGTTGGCAAGATTATGGTCTCATAGTATTTTGCTCCAAAATGTCAGCTATTAGTCATGAGGGCAATCTGTGATTAATTCTGCCTGCTACGCTATATGGCTCTAATCATTTTGACTATAACCATCTAAGAATGTATAAAGTAACATGTACATACATATACATATGTACCTGTATGAAGTAGGTAGTTTAAAATTAGCCTGAAATAAGTTTTCACTAAAATTACACCAGATAGATCAAATGAGGGTCGGACAAAAAATCAATTTTTTTTTCAAATCAAAAATGATTTTTGTAGTTCTTATAAAATAAAAATTATGAAGTTCAACAGGTTTTTTACGTGTAAGACGACTACGGTTGCCTAAAGCTTCGGCCCAAACAAATCATGGCTTTTCCACACTGGCAAAAGAGATTTTTTTTTTATCTGTTAGTGTTCGCTCCCAGACTATGGACGGCAAAATAGTGAACGCTCTGAATGGCCCACGGATTCAATTGAACGCCATCTGCGTTCAATAAAAGGACCAAAAGTTTTGTAGATAGACCATGCTACTGCGACATGGACGACAAGAGGCAGTTTTTCTCCCTGTCTTTCAAATCTCCTGCCACATAAGTGGTTGATACGACAGAGTCATTCCTTTCAAAGGCTCAACGACCACCGAAAAATACAGCCAAGGTCGCCGTCTTTCACTTAGCATCTCTGGAGATCGAACGTAGAAAGGCAAAGCGCACTCAGAGGAATCTACGAGAAGATCTTACGATCGCTGCCGTCGACCCTAATCATCATGCCATGTCCGCAGTCTAATGTGAATATCACATTTAGCCTCGATATAGACCTGCTTTCGTTACGAACATTAGCCACAACTGGTATATGGCATTATGAGGAAGATCCGCTGATCGTAATACATAGCGTGGCCTAGAAGTACGTTCGTATCAAAGGATTTGCTAGGCAAATCAGAAGTCTATCTATGCTAGGTTCCAGAAAAATGTAAGCTATAGGTAGATAGTTTTGGTTGCATCTATTGCAATGTGCCCCAATTTTCCATATATAAAAGCGTTGTGAAGTCACCTCTAACTCACCAACTTACTTAATCGAAACGTAGCACCATCAGTAACGTAAAGTTACGTTGATGTGGTTTAGCTCCAAGACAGACGGGATAACCGAAAGTTATGCGTCACCAGCGATTCTCTATACTTGAAAAACAAAAAGTAGTCGACGAAATACGAAAGAGTGTCGTACAAAAAGGGGGCAGGGATCACGCGTTTTGCTCTGCGTTGTATGAATATACAATGTGTAGAGTAGCTCTAGTCTTCCTAACCCTTCAAACCATAGCGGGTTCATCAGCTGTAGCATTGGTCGTTGTGCCAGACAGAATCATCAGTAAGATGAAAGTTAACCAGCGATTGATTACACAGTATCGAACATTCGTTGTTTAGCGTTCTGTTGAAAAACGGTTGTCTGCAGCCGATGAAAGAAAATCAATTTGCAGCCATACACGTCAAGGCTGGACAGAACGTGTGCTTGCTGACGTTGAATCCAAATTTATGTATTCCCTTCTCTTCACAGGTCAACGGATGGATTGTTGGGAAAAATATATCCGAGCTTTACCGTTCGTCGAGGTGCTTCTTTATTCTATACGCAAGAAACAGTCACTACTCGGTAAATTAGGTCAGTGTTTGCAGTATGCAAATGATGATAATATCTCGTTTCGTCCACATAGAATTTATGCTGTTCAGAGTAACAGATTCTATCGTTCATTTGGTGTTAGCAGCTATTTTTGAAACAGGCTTCTAGTGAAGATCTCTATTTGATCTTTCACTATATTGTTTCAGTAAACATTGGAAAATGTATATAATTTAAGCTAATTATTTTAATCTACACCAACACGTGTTGCTTTTACCGAAATTGATCCAATTACTATGATTTGAACACGAAATCGAAAGACAGATCTTTTTCGTGTTGAGCTTTTCAACAGATCCAAATGAAATAGTTGAAGCAAAATTGTTGAGACTTCACGTACGCCCTACAAAAAAATATGATGATGATGATGATTTTCGTAAGAATAAATATATACGAAATGGAATTGGCTTAATAATGGGACATTTTGTAACTTTATAATAACTTGACACACGGTATCGTACTTTTACTTAGAGCATCTTTCACTAAGTGCATCACGGCCTAATAGAATAGAATAGAATAGAATATACAAGAGATCATTTAACGTAATCGCGTTTTTCAACTTCTTCTTTAATAAGTGTTAAGGTATAATTGATTACACACAGGGCATTTCCGCTGCAGACGTGAGATGTGCGGAAAAAGCGTGATGTTTTTCCGATTTTCTTTTCAATTTCTTCTATTTTTTTCGAACGAAACGCTAAACGAAATCGCTAACAAAGATGTAGCATCATTTTTGTCACTTGCTAGATTGGAAAGAACTTATTAGTATTCGGTAGTTAAGTAAATACGTTTCGGCATTTACAGCTCCCTTTATTAGGAATGGCAAAACGAAGAGGTGGCGGCAGCAGCAGTCGAAAGTTGTCGGCTATATGTAGTATCAGTTCAAGGGAAAACACAGAATATTGGTGTTGCAAACGATCAACAACTGACATCGTCCCTCTAACGGAGCTAATACGATATTACATCGAGGGGTAGCTAACTAAGAAGTCGCGATATTCGGTCCTTAAGATGCCCTACAAAATCAACTTGTAGACGATAAATTTAATTATGTTTTTACGGACCCAAAATAATCATCGATTTTTGTATTTCGAAAAAACGAATGATGATAACGATGGAAAAACATGTTTGTAGGCAAATCCTAGGCGATACTAATCAGTGAAACAACTGGCAAGAATCTTTTCATTGAAAAAAATATTCTATAGGAAACGTCGGATTATTTAGCTTCGCGTACATATCTATCTACATTAAGGAATGTTATTAGAATTTACTCTCTAACAACTATGCTAATGGCCACCGTTTTTAGGTACAAGTTATTAACTTTGGTGCACTCTATCGATGCTTCGGGACTCTAAAGAAAACTCGCGGCCGAGTTATATACAGAAAGTCATTGCTGATACCGGGTGCAGGTGTTAGCTTATAGACACATACAATATCGAAACTGGCACCTTTTCTTATACTTTGTTTCTAAGATTTTATATAAATAGAAACAGACATTTCAACGAAATTTTACGCAGGTGCTATTCCATGTAAGCATGTTTGTTCAATATAAATCACAATTTACCGCAAATATAGTTTCAATTCGCGACATAAAGCGCCCGCGAGTCCTTTTCAAAATGCTTCTTCTTTAATTCGCAAGTTATTTTTGG